TAGTGGGATGTGGGGGTCGTGAATGTGAGTGTGTGGTCCTGGGGGCTGCTGCGGCCATGGTCGACTTTGGCTCCACGTTGTGACAGCCGCGGGTGGGTGTGGGACTGAGCAGGGGAGCTGCGAGCCTTGGGGTGCAGAAGCTCTCGAGGGCGGGGCCTTAGCCTTCTTGACCCTCCCGGCTGACCCATGTTGGGATCTTGCACCAATTTTGCTGCTGTAGAATCTCCAGATTCACTTTGAGGTGCAGCGCCAAAGACCCTCCCCCAAATCTTGAGACCCTGCTGCCCTCCAGCTCTTTCATTCGCTGCTGTCGTGGGTCAGACCGGGCCAGTGGATCTGTAGGTGGCCGGAGTTTGCCAATGATAATTTCCTTTTGGGGCTGCTTTTGGCGCAGGGAATGTGGGGTTTTGCATTCCCGGGGATACCCTGAGGGCTTACTCTGGCTCTGGCCTCAGATGTTATTCCTGGCAGTGCTCTGGGGGCTGTGGGGATGCAGAGGATTGATTAGTGTCAGCAAAGCAAGCATCCTAACAGGTTTACTGTATGTTCGAATAGGAATATCTGCTTCCTCACATCAAGTTGCAAAGTCCAGCCCAGACCGCTCGCTATCCAGGTGAGTACTGGGGTGGGGGTGTGTGTGCGAGCACTTGTGTGTTTGTGTGTTTGTGTACTGCTGGTAAAAGTGTATGTCTGTAGAAAGTTTTTATTTATATATAGCACAGCGGGTAGGGCGTTTGCCTTGCAAGCGGCCAACATGGCTGACCCGAGCTCGATTCCTCCGCCCCTCTCGGAGAGCCCGGCAAGCTACCGAGAGTATTCGATGTGCCAGACACAGTAACAACAAAGTCTCCAATGGAGACGTTACTGGGCCCGCTCGAGCAAATCGACGATCAACGGGAGGGCCTTTACCTTTTTTGCTTTTTGGGTCTTACCCAGCCTATGCTCAGGGGTTACTCCTGGCTCTGCACTCAGGAATCACTCCTGGCGGTGCTTGGGGGACCATATGGGATGCTGGGAATTAAACCCGGTTGGCCAGGCAAACACCCTACCGGCTGTGCTATTGCTCCAGCTGTAGAAAGTTTTAAAAAAATTTTATTTGCTTTTTGGTTCACACCCGGAGATGCAAGGGGTTACTCCTGGTTGTGCTCTCAATAATTGTACCTGAGGTGCTAAGGGTACCATATGGCATCTTGGGAATAGAACCCAAGTCGTCCACTTGCAAAGCAAACTGCCCTTCCCACTGTTCCACCACTCCAGCCCCTGTTTTTTTTTTCTAAGAAGAGAAGGGCTTCCCCAGGCAATCATAGCCCAGAGTGTAGCTCTCTCACGGGGACAGAAGGAGGCGCTGAAGCACGGGATTTCCTGGCTTCAGAGTCCTTCCTGGCTGGGCCTCTGAGAACCTTCTGTGGGATGTGGGAGGAGTCCCCAGACCAAGGCAGGGCCGAGTTTTGTCTCCTGTAGCCAAGCCAGAACTTGTGTCACGAAAGGCAGCACAGATGCCAACCCATTTTGCTTCTCCTGGGGAGAAAGAAACATCTGGCAGTGTCCCCCAGATGGGTCTGTGAGCCAATGCCCGAGGGTGTGGCTGGTCAGAACTTGGTAATTTTGCTCCTGTCCAGTGCTCCCAATTTTGGCTTCTCCTCCAGGTCTCTGATCCTCTGGAAAAACAGCCAGGAGAAGATGGTGAGGTGCCATCGGACACACCGACACCAGGTAGGAGTGACAAAATGAGGTGATGCAGTAACAGGATCGTCAGGCTTCCCGGACTGTCTTGTCTCTGACTTGCTTCAGGAAGGATCCTGCCGCCTTGTCGGAGTGCCCGGCTCTCTACTGTCTGAGGCCACGTGTGTCAGTTTTGTTGTATTTGTCTTTAGGACCACAGTAGCTCAAAGATTACTGGTGCACAAGGATGACTCCTGACATATCTCAGGGACCAAATGGGGTGCTGGGCATCAAAGGCTGGTGTCTGGGTATTTTGTTTTGTTTTCGGAGCCACACGCAGTGATTCTGGGGATTATACTCTTGGCTCTGCACTCTGGCATTGTACCTGGAACTGCTTAGGGCACCCTATGGAATGGTGGGGATCACCAGCCCTACTCACTGTCCTGTTACACAGTCATGCTGTTTTGTTTCTTTTCGTATTTATTTTTGTGCCACAGTGGAGATGCTCAGGGCTTCCTCCTGAATCTGTGCCTGATGTGCATCATGGGTCCCCGGGTGTGCTGGACCTGTTTGCTCTTGCAGCTCAAGTGACTGTGGGATACAAGGGGTGTATGTTTAGTGTTTTGAGCTGAAAGCAGGGTCACTCATTTGGATCCCACTGATTGTGTGCTCAGTTTTTACTCTCTGCAGTGCTCATAGGAGCAGTGGTTGAATTCCCTGGGGTCAGAAGCAAGTCTGCCACCTTCAGGAACCTTCTAGAAGAGGATGCTCACATTTTCATAGATGCAGCTGTCTTAGAGAAGTTGGGACCCGTTGGCCAGAAGTTCAGGTGGAGGCTGGTTCCTCCCGATGGGACAGACCCTGAGACCCTCTAGGGCCCTGGGTTCCTGGCCTCACAGCCCAGGGTACAGGGTGGGGACAGACCCTGACTCCTGCCCCCTTTGTATGCTGGTTCAGGGCACGGTGACCTTCCCTGATGTGGCCGTGAGCTTCACCCCAGAAGAGTGGATGTGCTTGGATGCCTCTCAAAGAAAGCTCTACAAGGACGTGATGCTGGAGACCTACCAGAACCTGTGGGCCATTGTGAGAGCAGTGCGGGGCTGACCTTGTCTGGACAGTCCCATGTCGGCTCCCTGTGCTGGGCCGTGACTGTGTTTCCAACAGTAGTTGTGACTGTACTGGCGAGGACAGCCATGCAGTAGCTCTTTCTCTAGCTCTGTCCCTGGTTTTCTAGTTGGTGCTCACCTGGCGATGCCCAGGGCTTACTCTAAGCTCTGTCCTTAGGAATCACTCTCTGTGGGTTTGCATGAATCTTGATTGTCCGGGATCAACCCAGGTTAGCCCCGTGCATGGCAAGCTCCCCATGCGCTAAGCCATCACTTAGGTCCCTCAAAAAAGTTTCTGGTTCCTGCCAATGCTGAGTTCTCTGATCAGTTCTTGTACTACACATAATATCTAGTATTTTTGGGAGTTTTGCTTTTATTTGGGGCACAACCTGAATCCTCTTGTCTCTGTGCTAAGGGAACACTCCCAGGGGTGCTCAGGAGCCATGGGATTCTGAGGTTTGAACACGCTTGGCAGCGTAAAACGTTGCTGTCTTAATCCTGGAACAATTGCACCAGGCCCACAATTTCTGTTAATTTATTTTTATTTTTATTATTTTATTTTTATTTTTTTATTTTTTAAAATTTTTATTAATGAAACACCACGAGGTACAGTTGTAGACTTACAAATTTTCATGCTTAGGTTTCAGTTATACAGTGATCGAGTACCCATCCCTCCACCAGTGCCCATTCTCCACCACCACTAATCCCAGTATCCCTCCCACCCCCAGCCCACTGCCCACCCTGCCTCTGTGGCGGGGCATTCTCTTATTTTGTTTTGATTTGGTTTGGGGTTATACTTAAAAATATGTAGGGATTATTTCTGGCTGTGTATTCAGTTATTCATCCTGGTTGTGGTCCGGGGCATTCTGTGCTGCTGGGGATCAATCCTGTACGTGTGTGCAGTGTCTGTGTCCTGCCTGCTGTAATATCGCTCCCAACCCAGTTTATGTATTTCTTAGGGCCTCACCCCATCAGAGGTTGGTCTATTTCAGTGCTCGTGGGCACTTTCAGTGGTTCTTGGTTCATCCGGAGTCAGGATTTGCCTCTGGATTATGCAGTCAGGGATCACAGCTGATGGCTTGAGAGACCCTACTGAATGTCAGGATCGAACTTTAATTGACTTTGAGGAAGGCCAGTGCCTGACCTGCTGTGCTGTCTGTCTGCATCCTTTTATGTTTATTTTAAAAACCATCTGGGAGCTTTGGTCATCTTTGTTCATCTTTGGATTTGTTAAGCTTTGGGGTTTACTGCACTCAGGCATCAGTTCGCACAGGCTTAGTACATTGCATGTGATGCCGAACCTATAGTGACAGTACAGTGAACACGGTGTTTGTCTTGCAAGTTCTGGACATACATTCTATTCTCATCAACCCATAATGATCCTCAAGCAAAACCAAAGGTGATTTTTGAGTACACAGTCAGGGAGAAGCCTTGAGTATCCCCAGGTGAGGATCTCAAACTAGAGAAAAAAAATACTACGTACTGTGCTGTGATCAAACCCCTGTTGGACATTTAAGACCCCAGTTATACTATTTGTGGTGTTTTATGGGCCCCGTATTTTATTCTTAAATTAGGACCTGGATCTTAGCTCTTGGATAACCACAATCTAGAACATTTCAGATGTGAAGATTCTGTTCATGCCTTTTCAGTAATTTACTCCATTTTTATATGGATACATGCGGTTTACTTGTCACATTTTCCTTGTCACTAATCCATGCTCCATAACTGTGAGGTTCAGGGCATTCTGGGTTGAAGCCTGCGGTGATCTCCTGGCTGAAAGGAGGAACCCTGAGGCCGGGGAAGAGAGGCATGCATGCATGTCTTGTAGGATTGCTAAGCTTTTCACAGCAATCCTTTCCAGGGACCTTCCCTTTTCTGTGGGATACTTTGGACTGTGAGAACCAAATAGATGTCCTCAAGCTGTACTGCCTGTTTAAGGATGTCCCATCCCATTCGAAGAATTCATTTTCTTTTTTTTTTTGGGGGGTGATACACCCAGAAATGCACAGGGGATACTCCTGGATCATGCACTCAGGAATTACTCCTAGCAGTGCTCAAGGGGCCATATGGGATGCTGGGAATCGAACCCGGGTAAACTGTGTGCAAGGCAAATGCCTTACCCACTGTGCTATTGCTCCAGCCCCTCCATTCGAAGAATACTTACATTATATATTGTGTTTCGTTTCAGAACTCAATGCATGGCTTCGGGATTTAGGAACTCAATCAGCGAGTATGAGTGAGCCGGTAAGATTTGCAAGTTTGGAATCAATTTTATAATACTAACAGAAAATATCAGTGGACCAGCATGTTATTTTTAAAGTGCAGGGCCGGGAATGGCTGGAAAAAAAATTTGGAGTATGATGCTTGAATTTGAGGACCCTTATCTTAACTGGGTGCTGACATCTCTGCTCAAAACCTAAAGAAAATTGTAATATGTTTCATGTATATGCCTTGCTTTTTCATTTGATTGAAAGTATCTACAAATGATATTCGTGAAAATACCTTGTCTTTTAAACTGGTCCATCCACATTGCCATGTGTTTCACAGAGACCTACTGGTAATGCTGAGCACTGAATGGTGTACCCCAACCCTAAATGAAAACAAAATACAGAACAGAAAAAGGCATTGACCCTGAAAAGAACCTGCCTATGGTGAGATGTTTTCAATGGCCCTTGTGGTCAGTGTCAGCAGTGTTGGATGCAGTTTTTCTTAATAAATGCATCCCCGGATTTACTCCACATTGAGATAGAACTGAACACAGAATTTAGTGTGTTTTATCTTGAATCTGGTGCATCAGTGTTCTGTGGAGGGAGTTATTTCTGCCTGTTAATCGAGTTAAAAAATATTTAACAAATTAATGGCCCCTCATTCATCAATTTTCCATGTGTGTCTTACAGAAGCATTAGGTTAGTCCATGGTATTGCCATCCACTTGTCGGGAATTGCATTGGTATGTTGCAAATGTTAGAAATCAACCTGCAGGTATCAATTTCTTTTGACATGGAGACACTTAAGGCAGAGAACGATAATTGGAATCCTCTGCTGTTCTACAGGGAAGCAGCCAGCCCGAGTGGAATGTCTCTGACCCTTCACACTGTGAAAAAGTTTCGAGTGTGCATTTGTGCCCTCAGCCACATGGGGATGCCAAGGCAAGCAGGATTGCCTCCAAGGGTGATCAGAATGGAGAGAGCTACCTCATTCTGAAGAATCCCTCCCCGGGGAAAAGTTTCACGCAATCTGTTATTCTCAGTCTACAGACACATACCCCAACATTGGAGCAGACCCTTGAATGTGGGAGAGGAGCACTGTTTACAGCGAGTCCTTCGCACCGAAAGCCCCACAAGCAAAGTCACCATGGATTGACCCTGTCTCAGTGTAAGGAATGTGGGGGAGCTTTCCCATGTTCCCAGGACTGTGATTTTCCCTTAGAAACCCACAGTGGACAGAATCCCCAAGAGTATTAGCAGCAAGGGCGTGGTTTGAATCCGGCATCACCCCAATGTGATGACATGAACATCCACACAGGAGGGAAACCACATGCATGTAAGGACTGTGCGAAGGCCTTCACTCAACCCTCAGACCTCTTACAACATTGTAGAATCCATACTGGAAAGAAAGTATATGTGTGTGAGCAATGTGGGAAGGTCTTTGGTTACTCCTCATACCTTTCTAGACACAGGAAAATTCATACTGGAGAGAAACCTCATAAATATAAGGCACGTGGAAAAGCCTTCACTCGATCCTCAACCCTCACCGGGCATATGAAAACTCATACTGAAGAGAGGCCTTATATATGTAAGGAGTGTGGGAAGGCCTTTACTTATTCCTCAAACCTTAGTCGGCATATAAGAATTCACAAAGGAGAGAAGCCTTATGGATGTAAGCTATGTGGAAAGGCCTTCTCTGTGTCCTCAAGCCTTGATGTGCATATGAGGATTCACAATGGAGAGAAGCCTTATGGATGTAAGGTTTGTGGAAAGGCCTTTGTTAATTCCTCAAGACTTACCTGCCATATGAGAATTCACACTGGAGAGAGACCATATGTTTGTAAGGAATGTGGGAAGGCCTTTGTTGAATCCTCAGGCCTTACTCAACATATGAGAATTCACAATGGAGAGAAGCCTTATGGATGTAAGGTATGTGGAAAGGCCTTTGTTTCTTCCTCAAGCCTCAATATGCATATGAGAATTCACAATGGAGAAAAGCCTTATGGATGTAAGGTATGTGGAAAGGCCTTTGTTGTATCCTCAAGCCTTCTCTGCCATATGAGAATTCACACTGGAGAGAGACCATATGTTTGTAAGGAATGTGGAAAGGCCTTTGTTGTATCCTCAGGTCTTACTCGACATATGAGAATTCACAATGGAGAGAAGCCTTATGGATGTAAGGTATGTGGAAAGGCCTTTGTTTCTTCCTCAAGCCTCAATATGCATATGAGAATTCACAATGGAGAAAAGCCTTATGGATGTAAGGTATGTGGAAAGGCCTTTGTGGAATCCTCAACCCTCATTCGCCATATGCGACAGCACACTGGGGAGAGACCTTATATTTGTAAGGAGTGTGGGAAGGCCTTTGTTTCTTCCTCAACCCTTACTCGTCATGTGAGAATTCACACTGGAGAGAAACCATTTGTTTGTAAGGAATGTGGGAGGGCCTTTCATCAGGCCTCCGGCCTAATTGTACATCGGGCAGTTCACACTGGGGTGAAATCTTATATATGTCAAGAATGTGGGAAGGTCTTTGTGTTTCCTTCTGGTCTTAGGAAACATCATAAAATTCATAGTAGATAACTCAATGACCTAATAACAATTTTTAATGTCAAAACAGGCCCTTTTCAGAAAGTCTTTTTTCTTTCTACCATGGGATGCTGTGCTACAAAAGTGCAGCCAGGGAGGTAATAATCCTAGCTATGTGTAACAAACTTTTTGTGATGTCAGTCTATAAGGGAAAGTCTATGCCAGGGTCCCCGAATTTGAACTTGATATGTATGTTAACATGTACTTTTCAGATTTCTGGTGAAAACTAAGAGGAATATGAATAAAATGAAAAAAAATCTCCTTTGCTCAGGGCTGTCATGGTCAAGAGTTGCCAAGATTAGTACCAGGAATTTTGCTTCATGGCTTGGAGGCCAGTTACACATGCTAGGGGAAAAGGCAGCCCAGATAGAGAATGGAGCACCAAATAAAGAGTGTTGCAAGGATCCTCCCAGGATGGGAGAAGCATGCTGAAAGTAGACTATAGACCAAACATGATTGCCACTCAATGCCTCTTTTGCAAACCACAACACCCAAAATAAGAGAGAGAACAAAGGGGAATGCCCTGCCACAGAGGCAGGGTGGGATGAGGGCGTGGGGGGTGGGAGGGATACAGGGATCCGTGGTGGTGGGAAATGTGCACTGTTTGAAGGATGGGTATTTGGTCATTGTATACTTGAAACCCAAGCACAGAACTTTGTAAGTCTACAACTGTGCCTCATGGTGTCTCACTAATTAAAAGTTAAAAAAAGGAATTTGAATAAAAAGGCAAAATAAAATCACTTCGCTCAGGGCTGTCAAGTCTCACCACTGTCTTATTCTTTGTTGTGACTCTGGCTTGACATTTTATTTTGCTTTTTGGTTCACATGCAGTGATGTTCTGTGGTTACTCCTGCCTCCATAATCAGTAGTTACTTCTGGCAGTTCCTGATGACCATATGGGATGGCAGGGATTGAAACTGAACTGCCCCGTGCAAGGAAAATGTCCTCCTCTCTGGACTACTGCTCCAGCGCCTGTGACTTGACCTCTGTAAATGGTAAATCACAATACATGCAGTCCTGTACCTCGATCTCCCTCAGATGTTCTATAAGTATGCTATTCGGTTCTGAATTAAAGGTTCACTGTGCTCTGGTCCATCTGCCATCAGTTGTTATGGTCCCCGTGTCTTTGTTTCTCTGGAGAGCGGAACACCAAACACCTCATACTATGGGACCTACCGACTCACTATTCTTCACATCTGGCAACCTGGGAGGGGTGCCTCAGAATTCACACTTGAGTATTTGTTGTTCTTGTTTCCTTTCATTTAGAGTTACCTTTTGACGTTGCAGTATTTTTGGTAAACACCCTTCTTTGTCTGTGGCTTATTCCTACCTCTGAGCTAAAGGATCACTTCTGTCAGAGGTCTGGAGCCCATATATGTGCTAGTGTATTGAACCTGGGTCAGTCAAGTGCAAGGTGAATGTTTTATCAGCTGTATTACCACACCAATCCACAAGATATTATATTCATGGTTTAAAAGTAGACCAAAGGGGTATGGTTGCCGCCAGCAGGTCAATCTGTACCTGTGAGGCGAGCGCATCAGCAGCCTGATGGCGCCTTCAGACTTCCAGATACCCCAAAATTGCTGCTGTGCCTTTGGCTAGCCCCCAAAAATTTGGGGAAAAGCTTAACCAAGAATGTAAACGACCAAAAGTTAGGTATGTGGGAGACACCCCCAAACCACCTCCGGCTCAGCTATAGAATTGGAGGCATGGCCTCTCTGGTTGCTGATTGAACTGCTTAATGGCCATGATCCCAGAGACTCAGAAACAAATCTCGAAACCCAGAGCCTTGTGGCAGAAATGCGCCCGGTACCTGCAGTAGGTTACCGGTGCTGGGCCAACCCAGGTGGGAATAGGTTTCATGCCTTGGCCTGTTCCCCCTGGTGGCCCAGTGGCCACCATCCTTCAGAGGCCACTGGACAGTCAGGTTTGGGCCCACAGTGACGAGACACACAGGACCTCACAGGATGGGGGTGGAGCCGGTCCTGTCCTCCCCACCACAACAAGACCCCAAGTCATCGCCCATGAACGGCCTCTCTGACTCCTGATCAAGATGCTTAACGGTCATGATCCCAGAGATTCAGAAACAAATCTCAAAACCCAGTAGCTTTTGGCAGAAATGTGTCCGGACCCCACAGTACGTTACTGTCACCCGGCCACCCCAGGGAGGAAAGGATGTTGTCACTCCACCTACTCCCCCCTGGCGAATCAGTGGCTGTCATCCTCCAGAGGCCATTGGACAGTCAGGCTCAGGCCTGCAGTGACAAACTTGTTGGGCCTCACAGGATGGGGGGGGAACCGGGCCTGTCCTCCCCACCCCAATGAGACCCCAAGTCATCGCCCACGAACGGGCTCTCTGGCTCCAGATCAAGCTGCTTAACGGCCTTGACCCCAGAGACTCCGAAACAAATCTCGAAGCTCAGTGGCTTTTGGCAGAACTGCATTCGTACCCCGCAGTAGGTTACTATTCCCGGGCCATCCCAGTGGGGAAAGGGTGTTGTCCCTCTGCCTGTTCCCCCCTGGCGGCTCAGTGGCCGTCATTCTCCAGAGGCCATTGGACAGTCAGGTCTAGGCCCGCAGTGATGAGACATTTGGGGGCTCACAGAATGGGGGTGGAGACGGGCCTGTCCTCCCCACCCCAATGAGACCCCAAGTCATCGTCCGCGAACGGCCTTTCTGGCTCCTGATCAAGCTGCTTAACGGCCATGATCCCAGATACTCAGAAACAAATCTTGAAACCCAGCAGCTTTTGGGAGAAATGTGTCCGGACCCCGCAGTAGGTTGCTGTTGCTGGGCCACCCCAGGGAGGAAAGGGTGCTGTCTTTCCAACTGCTTCCTCCTGGCGGCTCGGTAGCCGTCATTCTCCAGCGGCCATTGGACAGTCAGGCTTGGGCCCCCAGTGAGGAAACTTGTTGGGCCTCAGGGGATGGGGGTGGAGCCGGGCTTGTCCTCCCCACCCCAACAAGACCCCAAGTCATCACCCACAAATGGCCTTTCTGGCTCCTGATCAAGCTGCTCAACGGCCATGATCCCAGAGACTCAGGAGCAAATCTCGAAACCCAGTGGCTTTTGCCAGAAATCCCTCCAGATTTAAGTGTTAAAATTTTAGAATTTCAAAATCACATGGCCTTACTGCAGCCACATGACGTCATATGTTTTTCATAACCAGCAATAGAACACAAATTGTCTACTGTTGCCTTTTCAGCAGATCTGAGTGTTGGGGTAAGTAAAGTAAAGTAAAGGCCCTCCCGTTGATCGTCGATTTGCTCGAGCGGGCCCAGTAACGTCTCCATTGGAGACTTTGTTGTTACTGTGTCTGGCATATTGAATACGTCACGGGGAGCTTGCCAGGCTCTGCCGTGCGGGCGAGATACTCTCATTATCTTGCCGGGCTCTCTGAGAGGGGTGGAGGAATCGAACTCGGGTCGGCCATGTTGGCTGCGTGCAAGACAAATGCCCTACTGCTGTGCTATTGCGAGTGTTGGGGTAAAATCTCAAATAATAATGGTGGGTCTGGTGTCGAAATATTGAATGTGATCAAAGTAGAGTAATGTGAAAATCATCTGCCCCACAGGTAGGGGGAGGGTGTGGGATGGGGGTATACTGGGGTTTTTGGTGGTGGAGAATGGGCAGTGGTGAAGGTACGGGTGTTTCATTGTATGACCGAGACTTAAACCCGAAAGCTTTGTAACTTCTCATGGTGATTCAATAAATAAAATTGTAAAAAAAATGAAAGAAAGTAAGGTGGAGTTCATGCACAATTCAATCAGCTAATCAGTGACTGAATAAATAGCAGTACTCCTACATTAAAAAAAAGTAGACCCACTCCAGAAATTCCAGTTGTTAGACACACGTAAAATCATGGCTCATAGTAAACACCCTGGATATTTGGATAATTTTGTGATACAAGACACTGTTTACATGGTTTTCAGAGCTGTTCCTGCAAAACAGGAGCAAGTGCTGGAGGAGGCTCATTGTGATGATTCGGTATTACAGTAAATCGGGACCAGGATGGCCTAGGTCCAGCAGATCAGACATGGGGCACCTGGGACTCACCCGAGTGCAGAAGTGACCTTGTTCCCTGGAAGAAAACTCCCAGGCCCATGACCCCGCCCATTATACAAGAGGACAGCTGAAGGTTTGTCCACCCTGAGTCCCTGTGACTGCCCCCATGCAGAGCCACTAATGGGCCTGTTGTCACTGTGACCTGCAGGGGCCATCTCTGCATGGGAGCTCCTGGCCTAAGAGTTAGTCCATGGCCTTAGGTACGTTCCTGTAGGGCCCTGAGTGGATTCCCGGGGCTCGGGCAGGGCTGTAGTTTACTTCTCTGTTGGCTGAGACTATCCCTACTGTCCCAACAGGCAGCCTGGTCACAACCCATTTCTCTGTCCCCTGGAGAGGGAGGAGCATCTTGCAGTGTATCCCTGTGGATGGGTCTGTGAGCCAGTGACCAAGTATCTGGCAAGTCATTACATTTCTTGCTCCAATGCAGCGACTTCCTGGTGGGGGGCGGGGCTGGCTGTGCTCCTCTGGTGCTCGCGGCTCAGGTCTTTCCATGGAGACTCCTGCTGATCTACAGGAAAAACAAAGGCAGGAGGTGGTGACGTGCTCTCTGCCACACCATCCTCAGGCATGGGAGCGACAAGATGACCCAGTGCAGTGACAGGAGCGCACAGGCTTCTCGGGTCTTGGGTTGTTTCAGGAAGGAGACGTGGGATGTGGCTCCGAGCCTGAGTGCCCGGCTCTCTGCTGTTTGAGGCCGTAGGGCTTCAAGCTCCTGGATCCAGGCATCTGTGCCAAGTTCATGCTCCCCTTCTCCCCCCCTGGACTGTCCATCACGGAAGGATCTGTGCTTTAATTTCCTGGCTTTGTCGTTAATCTTC